TTTTCTTTTGTTAAAATTTTTTTTTAAAAAAAAAAAAAAAAAAAAAAGAAGGAGAAAAGAAAAAGAGGTAGAACCTACGAGAGTAGGTGCCTGAAGCAGAGGAGCAGGCACGCGGTGGATCGAAGAGAAAGAGAAGTAAAGGGTACGGTGTTGGGTTTAGAAAAGGAACAAGAAGCGATGAATGTGTGCTTCGATTCAACGATGATAGGCGAAAGATAGATACAGGATTCCGACCGGTGTTTTCCAATGTTGCCGGGTTATTTATGACGTATTTTATCTATTAAGTTTCTTAATAATAATTATATGATTATACACTATTAATAATTAATCATATTTTTTAATAATATTATGTGATTTATTTATTTAATAAAATAAAATAATTTAAAAATATAATTAGTTATTCGTGTAAAAAAAATTTACATCGATAATATATAAATAATTAATTCTTATAATAAAAAATTCTATTTATTTTTAAAAGCCTCATAGTGATAGAACCAAATTTCTTTGGCTTCAAGGTTACAATTTTTTTAACTCAACCAAATGTTCACTATTTTAATAGTGTATAATACACAAATACAAAACTAAGAAACTACTTCACACAAATTAAAATAGGTATTGTTGACGAATATTCTAAACTACTAATTAAGAAATTAATAAATAGAAAAAAATTTAAGTTAGAATTGCATTGAAAATTACTAGTAGTTCATTGTTATATATTTTAATAAAAATTACTTTTAATTCCTTAAATTAGTTTGTTCAATTAGATTATACTTAGTCATTTATTATTATTTTAATTATGCATTTTTTATATTTTTAAATATAATATATTGGTTAGTATTTTAACATTAGAATACACGTATGTTATATTTTGTTTGACGTTTAAAGATTTTTTATATGTATTAAAAATACAATTTGTATTTTAATTTTATGAAATTTATTATGCAATCTCTTTTATTTTTTATATAAATTAAATTGTGTATCATTTAGACTCCTTTTATATTTTTTTACTCCATAATAAATAATTAAAGATGTTATAGGAAAAATATTTTTAATCTTTCATTGATATCTTAAAATAACAATCAATATTTTTTTATAAAGTGAAAAAAGTATTTATTAATAGATGAGTTTTATAGTGTTGTTAGAAATATGGTCCACTTTGATCTATTAAAGTAATAGTGTCTCTTGTCTATTCCTCCCTCTTATATTCTCATAATTTTTATTTTGACTACGTCGTCTTTATAGTTTACACTAATTTATGTGACATTGTATCTTTATTGGGGATGTTAAGTGTCATTGAGGTGATGCTATACGTGAATCAAACAAATACTATTTGCCTTATATGAGATTGAATGTGGGTTTTACCACATTAGGTGTGAGGCCCTAGGGGGTCTCCACCTCGATCATGTTAGACATGATTTAGATGGCTTTGGGTGTGAGATATGTTGCACTGGGCATGGGATGCTTGGAATGTTGTATGATGAACATGAATGGATGTATGAGTTCTATTGCATATTGTGTGCAGTACAAGAACTATAATTCTATGTATGTTGATTAGATATGACATATGCAAATGTTTGTATGGTGTTAAATGACGATAAACGTATGTTAGTTATATATGTGTATGATGTTGTTGATCCCTATATGTATTAACTGGATGTGATGCATATAGATGATGTATGATGAGGTGTGAATGCCTAGAATGAGGTATGACATTAAGGCACGTTGGTTAATTTAAAACTTGAAGAGAGAAAATTGTTTTGAAAATTAAGGATCCCACATAGGGAACTTTGGAAAGGTGATCGAGTAGGTCATTATTGAAAAACCTCATTGAGTTGGTGTGTCTCTTTGAGTGGGTTATGAGGTGTGTTTATATTTCCCCCAAGTCATTAATTAGTGACCGAGTAAAGTAGGATGTCAAGGAATACAATCCATAACAAAGTACTTAGAAAGGTTGTGTGACTCCTTGAGAATGACCAATGTGCTAACTCCATATGTGATTTGATAATGCATGCCATGATCGTGGCACGCCTATACCCAATTGTACCACTCCTAACGGTGGAATCGAACTTTCCAAGTGTAAATGAAAGAAATACGTGAAATCATGCTGTTGGGATTGGTGATCCAATTTGGTTGATCGGTCTATCAGTTTTATAAATGATCATGTTGATGGGTCTATTTAGTTTATAGATGATTAGGTTGATTTGATGGGGGTTGAACCACTTATACTACTTAGTTGTTAAGAAATCTTCATAAATGAATGTGTGACAACATAATGATTGAGATGTTTGCATATAATACATGTTGTGGTGTGATCATATGCATTGTTGGATGTTTTATTTGACATGGTTTGAATGAGATACATGTTTGTCTTTCGGTGTTTGGCTTCTATATATGGTTGTGTTATGATGCCATATGATATATAATTGTTTTTATGCTTACGTGTTTTTGATCTTTGACGACTTATCCTTCTGTTTCTATGTGGTTTGGACTGTAATGATTATACATTATATAGGAGTAGATCATGGTTAGCCTGGAGGAGCAGTCACAGTGAGTTAGCGAACCCTTTTTGCTGGGTGTTGGTGTTACTTTGGTGTAGTTTGATTAGTTGTGTTCAACCGATACTAAAAAATACAATTTATTTTGGAATTTTTGTGCATAAATTTATATAACCAGTTTATATTAGTGCATGTTTAACTTTTATAGTCATATTATTTATGTTCATATTTACTTATTTCTTTTATAAACTCAATATATCCCAAATTGCCTAGTTTTCACTACTAGTAATGTTGATTCTACAAAGTGTATGAATCAGTCGTTATAATTTATACGTCGTTCATCTCACCTATATTAACTCTTACGTTGTATTACTTGATAATATTTTTAAATTGTAATTATATATAAATATATTTTTATTATAATATCTATAATTTTAAATATATATATATATATATATATATATATATATATGATTAAGAGAAAAGTCACATTAAAGATAATCAACTAAATTTTTTAACAAAAATTAATTATTAATAAAATTAATACATATTTCATATCAATAGCATGGTTAAAAAAGTATTCAGTAATTTTCATTTTGAAAATATAATTTAAAATTATTTTGACATTACGCAAAAGGATATAATATAATTTAAATTTAAAATATGAACATCATTTATATTTTTATATAATAAATGTATCTTAAATATACTATATATATATATATATATATATATATAATCTTTATATATTCTCATGCATTGCATAGGTTGTTTATACTAGTTTAGCTTATATATAATTCTTTTAGTTGTCTAATTGTTTACAACATTAATTAATAGTTTAATTTTCATGTATTACTGACAAAAAAAAGTTTTACATAATAAATTATTCAAAATTCACAATAGATATATCTTTTTAAAATGTTTTGAGAAAAATATAAAAAAAATATTTTTATTGAATAAAAAGTCTAATAATCTTTATACACATTAATATTTTTTATTTCACTGAATATAAAAACCCATAATAATTTCGATTTTTTGCTGGACCACACGTACGCACACCAACCCTTATTCTTATCTTCGGTAACAACGTCCGCATTTAGCTTGGATTTGAAGAAACTATAATATTAATAGCTTGGGTTTGAAGAAATAATCATATGATCACTTTCAGATAGGATATTTATCTCAATCTTTGAATGTGGAAACATTCTCTGATCGCAGTAATGCTGAATCGGACTAATTAGCTATCAAATAATTGAGAAAGTTAATTGTCCCTAATCTATTTGTGGAGAAGAACATTGTTCCCCAGTTCTCCACTTGTAGACAAATTTCAATTGAAATTTTATCATTCTATTAGTCACTATTTTAATAATAAAGATATTTTTAAATTGATAATTAAATATTAATTTATATTTATAAAATATGATTTCTACTGATTAAATATTATTTTAATATAAATAAAAATTAAAAATATTATTTTAACATAAATAAGAATTAAACTTAAGATGTAAAGGTATTATTTAAACATGTGTGTATATTTCTAACTTCTCCAATAATCTTATATTATTAATATGACATGATTATTAATTTATTTTTAACTTTATTATAATAAAAAATCTCATTACCAATATGAACTTGGCGCCCCAAATGGATGTGTGACCAAATTCAGGCCCGCTTGTAGAGTGACAATTAGTGGGCCACTAGCCCATGCTTACAATTTAGAAGGCAAATGGGCCCTACCCTTGGGTTGTTTACAATTCTATAGATTTAAGCCATTTTAACTTTTAAGTGAGCCAAAATGTTTTTTCAAAGGCTGATGATATATACACCTCCTATCTTTTATAAATACACTTCCAATCTCTTTTTTTTTTTGTTTTTAAATTCTTAAAATATTCTTCTAACTAAATTTTTATTTTTAAAGTTTTATTCACCCCCTTCTTTTATCATTCTTCTTCTTCTTCTTTCTTCTTCTTTCTTCTTCTTTTTCTTATTCTCCTTTTTTATCACTCTAGTCATTTTAATGATTTTATATTTTTTTCATTTTTCATTCTTGATTTTTCTTCTTTTACAATCAACATAATCATATTTTATCTTTCTATCTTTTAAATTCTATTTTTCACTTTCCACTCTATTCTTTCTTAAATCCTAATTTTTCATTCAATCATCATTATCCTCTACATTCAATACAAGGTGCAAAATTAATATATTAAATTATATTTCATATTTACAATTTTTTAAAACTTATTTAACATTACTTATGCACAACAGGTTCAATCGTGATACAATATTTTCTCAATCCATCTTCCCCTATAGTTTTAAATTTATTTGGATCAAATAAAAAACCAAACATGTTTTCATATTTTTAAAATTGTTCAAATTGACTCTCAGTAGAAGAAATAGATTGATCTAATATATACAAAAAATAATTAATACGAAAAGAATCTTTAGTAGAATGAGTTATCTCATCACTATCAATGTCATCAAAATATTGTTTCCTATGAATCTTACGTTTTTCATTGAACTTAAACTCTATATCCATTTCAATAGTTATTTCTTTGGTGGATTCTAATGCAGATGCAAAACCATTTTTCCTATAATTTTTGAATTCTTCTATTTTTTTTTTCAACTTTTCAAAACTAAGTACACTTTCTATTTGACATATTTTACTGATTGGCTAAAATAAAAAAACAAGAAAAATAATTTTTAAAATTAAAAGAATATAACAATGAAACAATAAAACCTGGAAAGTGAAAAATTATATC